TTTATTAATGCATATTACTTAAAACTCAAGATTGCAAGTATATTGTGCGTAAGTACAACTTATTAAAACTCTATATTTGAATTCGTGTAACTAACTGCAGATAAATATAGTCAAATACAAGATAAACATTTTATTTTAAATATAAATTATGATAAAACTTAAATTAAATTAGAAAATTATAATTTAATAATCTATAGTTTAAAATCTAATATATATTTTAAGATAAAATAATAACCAATTCATCTATCGTTTTCTCAAAACTGTAAAATAAAATTGATAAAGACAAATAACACGTGATTTATTGCTCGTTATTTGGAATCACATAAAAACCGCTACAACTCATCTTGTTTCGTCATTTTTTTGTGATGATTACGATAAACAAATAAATTTAGCTTAAAAGATCGTCAAAAGCAAAAACTGCTCGTAAATCTACTCGTGTCTTTATCTAAAACAGGAATATAACATCATACATTTTTACAACATAAAACATATGTAACAACCTATCTCACATGGATAAAGCAGTACTACGATAAATTTATGAGCTCTTTATAAGCTCAAAGTTATGACTACTAACAACTTCCACCATGGTTATCGAATCAGATTTGGAAGTTATTGGTCCGTCTACTGCTTTTTTGGGCATTACAACAAGCCTCCCATGGCATAACAAGGTTTGTGCTTTTATGAGATTACTCAATTGACAATAAAATTTGGTTTTTGGCGGTTCTCCTCAGAGGTCACATGTTCGAGTCATGTAAGGCCTCTAGGATTTTCCTGACCGTTCTCCAGGACAGATGGGATTAGACGAAGTGCGTGCAAACTGGTTCGGACACCCACGGTTAACAAATCTTACTGTTGAATGCATTGTGTTTAACTATTCCAAAACGAAGACCGAACGAATACGAGTCTATACTTTAACAAAAAGAAAAACAAGTGAAAACACCACAAAATCTTTACAAAAAAGTTCATTTTAGAAGGAATATATGCTTAGAAAGTAGCATACCATTTGGATGGCTTAGCATTCAGCTGAAACCATTAAGCCAGATTCCATTTTGCTTTTCTTGATTAAGTCCATGACCACCACATCTATAAATACCAGACCATGCATAAGCTTTTGAAAATATAGCAATATAAACCATCTTCATACTCTACAGTTCCCTCTGCTACTTCATATTACTAACCATGTCTTCCTGCACCAACTGTGACTGCTTCGACAAGACCAGATGCGCGTAAGTGACGAAATCATGCGTGTGTGTGTATATATGTGTGTATGTATATATATATATAGATGTATAATCATTTACAAACCTAATAAAACCGTACAAACTTACAAACCGGTTTTCATGTCTTGTTTCACAACATGTGAAAATACAGTGTTGTTTCATATGTGAAATGTTGAAGATTGTTTTGTGTGCGGAAAAAAACAGTCTTGAACGTTTCACATATCTATATGTAATAGAAATTGGTTTGTAAGTTTGTATGAATTATTGGGTTTGTGAAAGAAACTCTAGAAAAGTTCACGTAAGTACCATTAATATTTTGACAACCTGAGAACCAACTATTTCATGAATAACTATTTCAAATTTATTCATCACGAATAACCCCTAAATTATTCATGAATATCATGATATTCATCAAGAATATCTATCACAATATTCATTATGAATAAAACATGAATAGCTCTCACCTGACCCTTTATATATCTTGTGTATATTTATAACGTATGTCTCTGACCAACTTAAGCTTGAATTGCAGCAAGGAAGGAAGCGAGTATGGTGTGACCATGGTCGAGAACGTGGACACTATTGTCATGGAGGTTCCTGCAGCCGAGAACGATGGCAAATGCAAGTGTGGTGCTAACTGCAGCTGCACCAACTGCACATGTGGTCACTAAACCAACCACACAATACAACCGAAACTCCAATAGCTAATGTTAGTCTATGGTTAAATAAAACCACACGATGGTGAGTCTCTTACGACTAGTTTCGAGTTAAAAAAAGGCGAGTGTAGGTCGAGTCTGTGTATGATGGCCACGCTTACGTGGCCATGGCCCATGGTTAAATGAAAAATACTTACCGTTGTTGAAGGTAATACAGGCTTCTCATTCTCTGCACACAGCAAGAAAACTCGACAAAAAACGTTGGAAGCAAAAGCAATCTTATAATACGAAAAAATCATTACATATATACATACGTACACCCCCTTCCCCCTGCTGATTGAATCGTTGTAATCCTCCGTGAAAAAAAGTAAGAGTGAAATGGTCATTTAAATCATTCAGACAGTATATTCAGTGAAAAAAAAAAGTTATCTTAATTCATAAAGACACCTTAATCTACACACTAGAAAACTAGCAAAACCATACTAAGGGGCTGTTAGGTTGGTTTTCCGTCAAGTAATGTATGAATAAAGTTGTGTGTGTATTAACCTGTCTGTATAGATTTGAGAAAGTTTTTGTTTGGGAGGGGTTTTTCATAGATGGAATGAGAGTGTTTTTTAATTGGGAGGAACAGGTTTGGAAAAAACTTGACTTTCTGCATAAGTCCCCCTAAAAGCTTTCTGAATAAGCCACTTTCTATATCATTAGGCCACTTCCAAATAATCATGTATAGCCTATTAAGCTGCTAACAAACAGACCTAACCCAGTAAATCCCACTTGAGAGCAGGGTCTAGAGATGAGATGTAAGCAGACCTAACCTCTATCCCAAAAAGTGTATCTCTACCCTAAAAAGAGTAGAGCAGTTGTTTCTGTGAAGATCCCCGACTTATGCAAGAGTGTGAGCAAACATGTATAAGACACGAACACTAACATATGGTAAACACAACATCTCTAGCCTAAACTACGAGCCCTCTAGCCACAACATATCTGTTATGGTTAAACGGAAGATATTTAGCGTGCCATAACACACAAAGGGGAACTTATCGCGGATAACAAATCAAGAACTCTTGTTATTAGCGTAAAAACAAGGAAACAAACGTATCAAAATGAGGATCCACCTCGGTAGGTCAATGATATAATAAAAATCAAGATTCATTTATTCTCGACTCGCCAAGAGGCATGGTATAGTTCATGTAAATCTCTGAAACTAAAAGGTGATATTGTTGCTTTGATTAATCATACATTGAAGCCCTCGGAACGAAGGCATAGACGATGAGCTTCGATCCATTTTGAGCAAGCTGTTTCACCGTGTTCCACAATGCATTCGTCTCGCAGCTTCTTAGTGTCGGGACAAGCACAGCAGATTTTCTTCTTTGGCTTTGATTCGGAAACTGTTGGTCCTTGGTCTTTTGGTGTTTTCGTTAATCGTAAGGTAGATGGGAAGTCTTGGGTCTGTAAGCCGCTCATGATTACGAGTTCCTGAACAACGATAAAAGTAACGTACGTGAATTCAAATCCTAGTTAAAAAGAAATGATTAATAACAGGTCTATGATTACGAGTTTCTTCGGTGTGGATTCTAGTTTAAATCTGACACGAATGTAGAATTTCCCTTCAAGTGAACATTGTGAACTACAATTTCGTTTGGACAGCGAAGGAATCATGCTTTTCTTTAACGATCATATGTAAACGTGGAACTAAAGAGAATACGCCAGTGTTAACCATGGAAATGGCTGAATACAGGCAATATGCAGTTGATTTCCATGGGCAGCTAACTTCGTTACCGGCATTCTCCATTTGTGTTGCCATCTCATCATACTACACGTAGCAACACAAATGGAGATCGTCAGTAGCGTGGTTAGCTACACATATAAATCAATTACATACTGCCCGTCTTAGGCCATTTTCATGGTTAACGCTTGCATATTCTCTTTGGTTCCATGTTTACATATGCTCGTTAACGAAAAAACAAGATTACTTCACAGTCCAAACGACAGAAAAGCCAAAACAAGACATAGGTAGTTTGCCAACAAGCTCAAGTAATACACATACATATTCCAATTGATTACAAATAACTTTGAATCTATACACAGCAAAAAGAACAGACTAAAGATCCAGATAATAAACACCAGAATTTTATAGGGTTTCTTCATTTACTTATTTTCTCAAAAAACAAAATCATAACAATAATAAATTTGTCCTAAGGGTTGGTTTCCAATGAGAATGGTAGTTACGATGAGAAGGGTAAGAAGGATCTCCACCATTGGATCAATCCTAATTAAAGATTAACACTAAAGCGGTGTTCCAAGGTGCACCGGATCAATTCCCGTGATAAGCGCAGTTCACCATTAACTTCCATCCTCATATGATCACTTATGCTTCTCACTATAAACTTCTATTCTCACATGATCATTGTCTTTGTTCTAACCCCTCAACCCAAACCCACTTTTTCAGAAACAGTAAACCCTAACGGATGAACCCTTGGGGTATCGAAACAACAAAATCCATCGTCAAGAACAGAAATTGATCAAAACCCGGAATTATTCTAACATAAATCGCCGAATATTAGCTAAAAGAATAACACCCAGATGATTTCAGCTGTCTACAACCCCTAAATTACCATAAATTATATGAACCCTAATCAAAGATCGATCCTTTCTTGATATATACGACAAAACCCACAAAGACTATGAACAGAAAGTTGAAATACTAACCGTGTAAGCCTAAAAATCAGCTGGGAAATCTTGAAGGTAGGAAAAGGATTTAGAGAAGAACGAAGGTCGAATGCAAAGTACGGAACTGGTGGGGGTTTTCTTAAACAATATAATCGAACAGTTCGAATTGAATGTATGAGGAAAAGGAGCGCCAACAAGAGCCTTTTCACGAAGCAATTTGTAATTCTATTTTTAAAGAACGTGTTGCGTTTGACCGCCGCACAGGAAAAAAGTAGGAAAAATCAGCTACGATACAAACCACTAATTTTACATGTTATTCACGAATTAACACCTGCCACGTCTATGATCTATAATATAGGACTAGAGGCTGGCCGAATTAGACTTGGTCCCCATGATTATACTTGAATGGAATAATTATAGAAAATGTCCAATACTATATACATTTTTATTATGAGATTTTTCTCCAACTTTTAACTCCCTTAAAAAAATTTGTTAAACGCAACACCATGTCATTGTTTTTCCCATTAGTGGAAAGAAATTAAGTCGCCAATCAAATTCTGCCACATGTCCTCCACCATTCCTTTCCCATCACACCTTCAACCTTTCCTCTCTCCCTCCACTCGAGTAGAATTTTTTGGAGTATAAAAACTGTATCCACTAAACTTTGAATGCTACGTTAAAATATTAGTAACTACAAAGAATATCAATCAAAAAACTAAAAAAAAAGTCTCTCAAAATTAATCAAAAATTTTAAAAATCCTTCGAAACGGTGGAATTAGGTTAAAAATACGTCGGACGACTTTGTGGGCCTTTGATCTAAAATGCACTTGCTCGACAAATTCCTAGATCCATTGTTGCTTATGAAGTTGAAGATATTTGTAGTGATAAGGGTGAGTTTGATGCTTCTGCAGATGGGTTTCGAACTTCCAACTTTGCGGATATTTGATCTAAGGTGCACTCGCTCAGCAAAATTCCCGGATCTATTGATGCTTATGAAGTTGGAGATGGGTTTGATGTTTATTGGAGATGGAAATGCTTATAGTGATCGGGGTGAGTTTGATGCTTCTGGAGATGGGTTTCGAACTTTCGACTTTG